TCCTTCCTTCCTTCCTTCCTTCCTTCCTTCCTTCCTTCCTTCCTTCCTTCCTTCCTTTCAATATATCTTTATTGATTTCAGAGAAAGGAAAGGAGAGGGAGGGAGGGAGGGGGAGAGAGAGAGAAACATCAATGATGAGTCATTGATCGGCTGCCTCCTGCATGCCCCCGACTGGGGATCGAGCCCGTAACCCTGGCATGTGCCCTGACCGGGAATCGAACCCCTATCGCCTGGATCCTAGGTTGACTCTCAACCGCTGAGCCACTCCCGGCCGGGCTAGCAGCTTTCTTTTACTCCTCTCACATACATCCATTTCCCTGAACTCAACTGTTTTGGCTTTCAACAAATATTTGTTGAGCATTTGTTTGCTACCTGCCAAAGATACAGGGAGTTAAGCTTAAAAATCTAAAGGAGGCTGCCTACTCTTTCAGTAACAAATGCAAACCCCACTGTGTGAGCTGGAGAAGGGCACTTGGCCTGGCCAGGTCATTTCCTGCCCCTTTGAGGAAGTCTTTGGCACAGAGCACACAGAGCAACCCAGCCCTGCAGCCAGAGGCCCCCAAGTTGCCTGGATTTGTGCCTAGGAACCCCAAATTTCCAGAGGAAAATGGGCAGAGAATAAACTAGGGGGAAAGGGAAGGATGGTTCCAGGAGCAAAGGGAGGAGAAAAGAATTGAAACAGTGAAGAAGAATTTTCTGAGCACGGTGGTGTTCTAAAACCAGAGTGAAAGGAGAGCCTTGCAGAGTCCACATCAGCTTGGAAAAGTGCTGAGGACAGTGCCCTTGGAGCCCACAGGCCCTCTCGCACAGGCCCAGCCCAGCCGGCTTCTTCGGCGTTGCTGTGGATTGTTGCGTCTCCCACTGGGCACCCATGCAGCCGTTTCTGTGTGTTCAGCTGAGGTGGCCATGCTCTAGGAAAGACTGACTTTGGTGTAACCCTGGGCGCACACACAGGCGGAGGATGCTCAGTCTATGGAGTGGCCTCCTGGGAACTGAGAGTTGCCTGCACCACACGTCCCCCAGCCCAGGCCAACGGAGGCAGCAGAAGCTCCTGGAGCCCAATGCAGAAACAATTGCCCTGAGCTATTTAAGTTCTTTCTCTTTCTTGCTGGTCAACAATGGAATTAGATTGCTTAGTACCTGCACACATGCTGCAAATCCATCACAGGATGAGACTGGATTTTCTGGACTAATGTCCCCTGGAAATTTGTGTTTAGTAACACCTTAACTTTTATCTTAGAATGTTTGAACTGAAAGGTCCATAGGATCATCTATTCCCAACCCTCTCTCTTGGAATGTATGAGCACCTGGGGTTGAGAGAAATTCAAGAGTCAGCTGGAGTTGGAGGGGAAGAACACCTGATTTTAGCACTTAGGAGCCTTGCTCCTTCGAGCAGTTACCCAGCCTCTCTGTGCATCCGTCTCCTCCATGTGCCCACGGAGGAAATGGGTGAGTGGAGCCATCAGATGTTTTGGCCACAATTTATGAGCCTACTGATGTGGTCCTATATTCTCTCCCCTCCTGCAAAGATGAGAAAGCGTTCCTGAAAAAAACAGCGTCGCCCGGCTCCAGTTCTGGCCTCCCTCTCAATCCCCGTGCTCCTCCAGCATGCGTGTCTGCCTCTCTTCCCGATCATTCTAATCAACAAGTTCACATTCACTATAATCAGTGACCCACTAGACCAATCCTCTCTTGATCCTGAGTCCCCCTGCAGTTACTGAAGCCCAATGCCCCTCACCCCTTCCTCCCCAAACTTCTCTAAACAGGTTCTATACACATGGTCCCCACTTCCTTATGTCCCCTTACATTCACTTCTCAGTGTTTAATTTACCAAGGCCCCATGGACCTGGCCAAATAATTCTACAAAGCTTGTTAGGAAAAACAATAGCCTTCATACCACCATCTTCCCCCCTCCCACTTGTCTCAAGTCCCCTCCCCATCATCACCATCAACAGTCATCATCATCGTCATCGCCATCACCTCCTTCCCCCTCCCCTGGCTTCTGGCGTAG